GGCCCGAAACGTCAGCCTTTCTGCTCCTATGATGCTGCTTAGCCTGCTGTGTTCATCCAGCTCTGCACCTTGTTGTCTCGGATTCTCTAGCATCTGCAGTTCCTACTATCTCAGAAGAATCATTGAGATTATTTCAACAACCCACAAATAGAAATCACTGAAATGTTTTCCAGCTATCCTTCACCCATAACTGATTCTATCTATTTGGTGTGTGTGTGAGAAAGAGAGTGTGTGAGTGTGCGAGCAAGTGTGTGAAAGAAAGCGTGTGTGAGCGAGTGTGTGTGCAAATGTGTGTGTGTGTGGCTTTCTATCACACTCGGTCCGCAAGTGAAGGCAATTGGGGAAGTTTGTGCACTTAATTCAAAATCTTTAATTCGTGAGAGTAGTCCAGGAATAGAATCATAGAATATTACAGTACAGAAGGAGTCCATTCGACCCATCGATTCTGTCTGTGCCCCAGAAAGAGCAAGCCAGTTAGTCCCATTCTCCAACCCTATCTCTGTACCCCTCTAAATTCATCACTTTCAAAGATACCTCCAGCTCGCTTTTGAAACTTCCTATAGGATCCACCTCCCCAACTCTCCCATGCAGCGCATTCCAAATCCTAACAATGCTCTGGGTAAAGAAGGTTCTCCTCACTCCTGACTCTCTTGCTGACCATTTTGAAATTGCGACCTTGAGTTACTGACATACTGATTGGTGGAAACAGAATATCCTTTACCCTGTGAACATTGTTCATAATTTTAAACACCGCTATAAGGCCACCTTTTAATCTTCTCTGCTCCAAAGCAAATATGCCCAATTTCTCTCATCGATGAACAGTACCAGTTTTTTCCTGAGGATGGGGGAGTTTAAAACTAATCTATGAAGTCCACCTGGCTGACTTCATTACAATCATCACAATCATTGACTAAAGCAATTTGCCTCCAACAACCAGGTGATTGATTCTCAGGTAAGATGAGAGGAGAAGGATTTAAAAGGGACCAAAGGGGCAACTTTTTCACACAGAGCGTGGTTCATTTGTGGAATGAACTGCCAAAGGAAGTGGTAGAAGCAGGTACAGTTCCAACATTTAAAAGACATTTGGACCGGTACAAGAATAAGAAAAGTTTAGTGGGATATGCGCAGGCGAGTGGGACTAGTTCAGTTTTGGGTACTTGGTGAGCATGGACAGGTTGGTCTGAAGGGTCTGTTTCCATGCTTTATGACTCTGCGACTCTATCTAAAATCCCTCATTCATCGTATCATTCCAGTAAATCTCCTTTGCACTTTCCCTAGGGATTTAACATCCTTCTTTAAAGAAGGCGCCCAGAAGTGAACACAATATTCCAAATGTGGCCTGACAAATGATTTGTAGAGGCGCAGTAAAGGAGGCAAGTGATGGCCTAGTGGTATTATTGCTGGACTGTTAATCCTACGGAGACCCAGGTAATGCTCTGGGGACCTGGGTTCAAATCCAGCTGTGGGAGATGGTGGAATTTGAATTAAAATAAAATATAGTCACAGAGCCCTACAGCAGGGAGATAGGCCCTTTGGCCCAAACTGGTCCATGCTGACCAAAAATGTCCATCCACACAAATGTCATTGCCCTGCACTTATCCTTCTAAACCTTTCCTATCCATGTATTTGTTTAAATGTTGTTAATGTAACCACCTCAACCACTTCCACTAGCCGCTCATTCCACATGTGTACCACCATCAGTGTAAAAAATAGCTGCCCCTCAGGTTCCCATGTGTTCTTTCCCCTCTTACCTTAAACTGATGCCCTCTAGTCCTCGATTCCCCAACCCTGGGAAAAATACTGAGTGCATTCACCCTGTCCATGCCTCTCATGATCTTATACACTTCTGTAAGATCTCCCCTCAGTCTCTTACGTTCCAAAGAATAAAGTCCTAGCTTGTCCAACCTCTCCCTACAGCTCAGTCCCTTGAGTCCTGGCAACATCCTTGTAAATTTATTCTGCACTTCTTCCCGTTTAATAACATCCTTCCAATAGCAAGGTGACCAAATCTGAACACCATACTCCAAGTGCAGCCTCATCAATGTCCTGTACAACCGCAATATAACTTCCCAACTTCTATACTCAACGCCCTGACTGATGAAGGCCAGTGTGCCAAAAGCCTTCTTCACTGTCCTGTCAACCTGTGACTCCACTTTCAGAAAGTGCACCTGAACTCCAAGGTCCCTCTGTTCCACTACACTCCTTAAGGCCCTACCATTCACCATGAAACTCCTACCTGGATTTGACTTCCCAAAATGCAACACCTCTCATTTATCTGTAATAAATTCCATTTGCCATTTCTCAGCCCCACTTCCCCAGCTGATCAAGATCCCGCTGCAATTTCTGATAACCTTCCTCACTGTCCACAATACCGCCTATTTTAGTGTCATCCACAAACTTACTAATTATGCCTTGCACATTCTCATCCAAAGCATTGATATAGATAACAAATAGCAATGAGCCCAGCAACGACTCCTGAGGCACACCACTAGTCACAGGCCTCCAGATCGACAAGCATCCTTTCACTATTACTCTCTGCTTCCTACCATCAAGCCAATTGCGTATTCAATTTGCCAGCTCTCCCTGGATTCCATGTGATCTAATCTTCCATCGCAGCCTACCATGTGGAACCTTATCAAAGGCCTTACTGAAATCTATATAGACTACGTCTACCGCCCTGCCCTCATCAACCTTCCTAGTCACTTCATCAAAGAACTCTAACAAATTTGTGAGGCATGATCTCCAACGCATGAGGCTATGCTGACTACTCCTAATCAAACTCTGTCTCTCCAAATGCATGTATATCTTATCCCACAGAATCTTCTCAAGTAACTTACCTACCGCAGATGTTAAGCTTCCTGGTCTATAATTCCCAGGTTTTTGTTTGCAGCCCTTCTTGTATAAGGGCACAACATTCGCTACCCTCCAGTCTTCCGGGACCTCACCCATGGCTAATGATGATGCAAATATATGAACGAGGGCCCCCACAATTTCTTCTCCAGTCTCTTGCAGAGAATTAAGAGACTAAAGGTGACCATGAATCCATGGTAAATTGTCAGGGAAAACCTATTTGGTTCACTACCATCCTTACCTCCTCTGGCCTACATGTGACTCCAGACCCACAGTAACATAATTGACTTTTAACTGCCTTCTGGACAATTAGGGATGGGCAATAAATGCTGACCTAATCAACGCTGCCCATATCCCATGAATGAATGCATGAGAAAGATATTACTTCCTTGCTTTTATACTTTATGATTGTATTTATAAACCCAAGGATCTTATCAAGTTAACCAAATGACTGTTTCAACTCGCCTTTGGAGAATTATGCAGTTGAACCCCAAAGTCTCTCTACTCCTATACTCCCCTCAAAGTTGTACCACTGAGCCTGGATTGTCTTTGTGTTTTTCTTACTACCAAAATGAAAGACCTCACATTTCTCTGCATTGAAATATTGAATAATGGGGTTTGATGTCAGCACATACTTCAGTAAGTCCATTCCATCCCCCTCACAATAAATGACCATATTCTATTAGCCCCGTTAATTACTTGCATATTAACAATTTGTGATTCATATACCAGGATCGACAGATCCCTCAGTACATCAGGCTTTTGCAATCACTTTCCATGTAAATAATTTTCTATTTTTCTATTCTATTGCCAAAGTTGACAGGTTCACATTTTCTATATTATATGCCTCCTGCCAAATTTTTGCCAACCCATTTAATCTATCCATATCCCTTAGTAGATTCCTCGTGTCTACCTAATGACTTACTTTCTACTTATCTTTGTGTCATCAACAAATTTAACTACTATTCATTTGATTCCTTTGTCAAGCCATTAATATAATTTGTAAATAATTGAGGTTGAAGCACTGATTCCTGTAGCTTCTCACTCATCACATCCTGCCAATGACCCATTTATCCCAACTCACTGTTACCTGGTCATAATCTAATCCTTGGTGCACATCATGATATCACCCCACAAACCACGAACTTTTACTTTGTATAGTAACCTTTGATGTGTTCTCATGTGAATTGCCTTCTCAAAATTGAAATACACCACATTCACAGGTTTCCCTTTATCCACATCATTCATTTACTTCCTCATTAAATCTCCCATTTGGCTTTTATTTGTTTGTAGGATGTGGCCATCGCTGGCTGGTCTAGTATTTATTGCCCATCTCTAATTACCCTGGAGAATTTGACCCAGACACATGTTCAAATGTGATTTCTCTTTTCCCAAAATTTCCCACATTTTCTAAGTGCCTTGCTATAACCTCCTTAATCACTTTTCTTCTCACAGATTTTAGCCAACTGTCTCTTCCGTTTTGTAAATAGAGGAGTCACATTCACTATTTTTAATCTGTTTGGATCTTTCCAGTGCCTGGGAGTTTTGGAAACTTCAATCCAAAGCATCTCCTTTTCAGCAGTCACTTCTTTCAAAACACACAATGAAGTCCAGCAGGATGCGAACACTTGTCAGCTTTTAGTTCTAATCATTTTCTTTGACCCGTCTGGAGATTGTATCTGTTCTCTCTCCCTCCCGCTTACCTCCTGACTTACTTGTATTTCTGGGATAGCACTTGTATCTCTTACGATGAGCCCAGATATAAACTGGAGTTTAATGCGGAAAAGTGTGAGGTGATTCACTTTGGAAGGAGTAACAGGAATACAGAGGTAAGATTCTTGGTAGTGTGGATGAGCAGAAAGATCTCGGTGGCCATGTGCATAGATCACTGAAAGTTGCCACCCAGGTTGATAGCATTGTTAAGAAGGCGTACAGTATGTTAGTTTTATTGGTAGAGGGATTGAGTTTCGGAGCCATGAGGTCATGTTGCAGCTGTACAAAACTCTGGTGCTGCCGCACTTGGAGTATTGCGTACAGTTCTGGTCACCGCATTATACGAAGGATGTGGAAGCATTGAAAAGGGTGCAGAGGAGATTTACCAGGATGTTGCCTGGTATGGAGGGAAGGTCTTATGAGGAAAGGCTGAGGGTCTTGAGGCTGTTTTCGTTAGAGAGAAGAAGGTTAAGAGGTGACTTAATAGAGACATACAAGATGATCAGAGGATTAGATAGGGTGGACAGTGAGAGCCTTTTTCCTCGGATGGTGATGGCTAGCATGAGGGGACATAGCTTTAAATTGAGGGGTGATAGATATAGGACAGATGTCAGAGGTAGGTTCTTTACTCAGAGAGTAGTAAGGGCGTGGAATGCCCTGCCTGCAAAAATAGTAGACTCGCCCACTTTAAGGGCATTTAAATGGTCATTGGATAAACATATGGATGATAATGGAATAGTTTAGGTTAGATGGGCTTCAGATTGGTTTCACAGGTCGGCGCAACATCGAGGGCCGAAGGGCCTGTACTGCGCTGTAATGTTCTATGTTCTATGTTCTACCAGTTCAATTTCCTATTTTCCATGATTAATTGCCCCATCTGAAGGTCACACACCTGCCCTTTGTCCCAATGCAGCAGGGTCTTCCTTTGATAGCACAATCCAGGTGTTTCAGACCTGTCTGTTTCTTCTTTGCTTGATAAGTGCAAATCTGTACAAAGAGCATGGACAGGGACATCATTCCAGTTTATTTGCAAGATTGCTGCAAGTGATAATTTCTCAGCGATATTCTTAAAGATATGTTTGTGTGTAAATGAGCCAACTTATCTCTTGCTCCCATTACAGTTGAAGAGGAATTGTGAGCTGAAAGTTATAGTCTACATTCGCACCAACAAGACAGAGACAGCAAGTGCTGAACTCATTGTCAGAGTTCAGGATGTCAAAAATTTAAAAGCTAATAATTTATTGATTACTCCCAATGCAACACATCAGCTAATGCAGATATAAGGTCACAAGGATAAATACATGTATTGAAATATATTTCAGGAGGAAGGAGCTTCAGATTCTTTGAGCACTGGGACCAATTATGGGCATGAGGCACATAGTCAGTGAGGCTAGCTTGTACCACAATGGGACAGGGGAGCTTCACTGCTGTGGCCGTGCTGTTTAAACAAAATTGGTAAGGAGATTGCCATCAGCATACAGGAGTAGGAAAGAGAACTAAAGTGCATAAAGAGGTGAGAAGATTAGATAGTGCGAGAGAAACAGTTAGTATTGCACTATATAGAAGGAGACATAGAAAGATTATAGAAATACAAAGACAATTTTAAACTTATATATGTGAACTGACAAAGTGTCATGAGGGAGGTTAATGCTTTGCAAACTCAGTAGCTAAGTGGAAATATGATGTAGCATAACAGAATAAAAACCGAAAGAACTGCAGATGCTGTAAATCAGGAACAAAAACAAAGTTGCTGGAAAAGCTCAGCAGGTCTGGCAGCATCTGTGAATTTAAAAACAGAGTTAATGTTTCGGTTCCGGTGACCCTTCCTCAGAACTGAGTTCAAGGACCGGTTCAATGCACATATGCGTACTGTTTACACAGCTCATAGTCACACTGGCTGGTGTCATGGTCCTGAACCAGTTTGGAGGAGTAATTGTGAGCTGGGAAACAGTCAGGAATTAACAGTCAAACAAAAGTCCTGCCTTTCCCCCTCCCCCTTTCTCTCACCTTTGATAGTTTGCATTGCTCTGAACAGGCTTTATATGTGAATTAATCATTTGGAAAACACGAGTGATTTACTGTTGTTGGTTAATAGATGGAGAGACATTAACCAGGCTAGAATATTTAAGGAATTCTTTGTATCAAGTGTTTAGTGATAATTCTGACAAAAAATGCCTATTATTCTTTCATAGAATGCAGGTATCACTGGCTGGGTGAGCATTTATTGCCCATCCCTAATTGCCCCTTGAGAAGGTGGTGGTGAGCTGCCTTCTTGAATCGCTGCAATCAATGTGCTGTAGGTAGACCCACAATGCTATTAGGGAGAGAACTCCAGGATTTTGACCCAGTGACAGTGAAGGAACGGTGATATATTCCCGTCAGGATGGTGAGTGGCTTGGAGGGGAACTTGCAAGAGGGTGGTGTTCCTATGTACCTGCTGCCCTTGTCCTTCTAAATGGAAGTGGTTGTGGGTTTGGAAGGTGCTGTCTGAGGATCTTTGGTGAATTTCTGCAGTGCATCCTGTAGGTAGTACACACTGCTGCTACTGAGCATCGGTGGTGGAGGGAGTGGGATGTTTGTGGATGTGGTGCTAGTGAAGCAGCTGCTTTGTCCTGGATGGTGTTGAGTTTCTCGAGTGTTGTTGGGGCTGCACCCATCCAGGCAAGTGGATCACACTCCCGACTTGTGCCTTGTAGATGGTGGGCAGGCTTTGGGGAGTCAGGAGGTGAGTTACTCACTGCAGTATTCCCAGTCTCTGACCTGCTCTTGTAGCCACTGTATTTATAAGGTAGATCCTGTTGCATTCCTGGTCATTGGTCAATGTTGATAGTGGGGGATTCAGTGATGGTAACAGCATTGAATGTCAAGGGGCAGGGGTTAGATTCTCTTTTACTGGTGTGTCAATAATATAGTTTTAAGAGATGTATTTTGTCTTCTTTATTAATGAAGAGAGATTGAGACAGAGATACCAAGCAGTCTGTTCCAAGCCAATAAAGTAAACAGCTTGTGAGGCCTTAGTTTTTATTAAGTTGGAGCAAAAGAAGCAGCATGAATAGGTGGAGTCTTGCTCCAACAGAACCAGGGTTTTAATTTAACTTTCAGTAGTTGCTGGGGTCTTGAAGCTAGATGTGGAAGTTGTTATTCTTCTATCTCTACAGCTAAAAGCTGGGGTTGTCTTCCTGCTGCTAGAATCGCATGTGAGACAACCTGTTTTACTGCATTTGCCTTTTGCTAAGTGTGTGTTTATAGGATGTTACTATATTGGACCAGTTATAGTTTAGTAGTTAAATTATCTATTATTCTGTAAAATTTTCCAATTGAGTTAAGTTATTCCATTCCTTCTTTCTTTCAATTGTATTTTAACAACAGTGTAAGAATAAATTGTTTTTTGCTTCAAGCCTGGTACTTTGAACAGTCGAATTACATCCAGAACACAACGCCTTTAAAGATAAGAAGTTGGAGTCTAAGCTGCCATCTTTATATGTTTTAAAGTGGTTCAGACTGATCCATAACATTGGAGATGGTCATAGCCTGGCATTTGTGTGGCATGAATGTTACTTGCCACTTGTCAGCCCAAGCCTGGATATTGTCCAGATTGTGTTGCATGTGAACATGGACTGCTTCAGTATCTGAGGAGTGCCGAATGGTGCTGAACATTGTGCAAACATCACCAAACATCCCAGTTCTGACCTTATGATGGAGGGAAGGTCATCGATGGAGCAGTTGAAGATGGCTTGGCCTGGGACATTAGGTTGAAATGAACAGTATCAAAACATTTAAAGAGAAGCTGGATAAATGTAAGAAGGAGAACGGATTAGAGGGTGACTTGACACTCCAGAGATTGCAGTGATTTGAGAATGCAGCTCACCACCACCATCTGCAGGACAATTAGGAATGTGCAATAAATATTGACCCAACCTGTAATACCCATGTTCTATCAACAAATTAAAAATTAAAATGCTCCCCGAGGGAACAAGTTCTAACTTCTTCCCACTCACTGGGGAAAGATGTTTCTCCTGAGTACCAATTGAATTGCTGGATGACAATATACTAACAGCCTCAAGTTCTGCTTTTTCCCACAAGAGAAAATGGTCACTCTGTATTCACTCCATCAAAACCTGTCACCATTTTAAAGACCTTGATTAGGACATCTCTCAGCCTCTGTTCTCAAAAGAGAGGAGATCCCAGCCTATCAATCCTTTCCTGATTATATAAACCCAAGACATTTATAGTACCATGAGCATGATCACAGCAAAACTCACTGGCCATTGTGTAATGTCATCCTTCCAGATGTGTGGTTCAGCAGAGGCTGGTTCCTCACATGTTCTACATAAGACAACACAGTTAGTCACACAGACTGGTTATCAATTCATTCTGAATGGATAGAAGACCAATTATTATGACCATTCTCATGAGTCACATTTTAGAGAAGAAAACATACTTGTTCAAAGAATTTTAACGAGCTAAATGGATTTTTCTGGTAACCTGATGGCTTCTTGACCACCTGCCCTGGCACCAGCCTTTTAATCCAGGTAAATCTGAGCAGATAACAGGAATGTATCAAAGAGAGATGGGGTCAATACTGGGTGGTACTGGAAAAGTACTGGGAGGGAGGTGAGTGAGTAGATCTTGGGAAGAAGGTATCAGGGTAGGGAGTGCTGCCAAATGATTTGACCAGAGCTCACATACCTTGGATCCTGATGGCACACTCCCCCAGATGTTCTACTCCCATTGGTGGATTCCAAGTAGGGGGCCTGCAACTTTGGCCATTTTACAAACGTTGCAAGTGTTTCCTGTATTTGAGAATAGATAAGGTCAGCAAATCAAACAAACATAGGAACAGAAGTAGACCATTCAGTCCCTTGAGTCTGTTCTGCCATTCAATAAAATCATGGCTAATCTGTGGCCTAAATCCTTTTGCCTGCCATGGGCCCATATCCCTTGATACCCTTGCTTTATAAATATTTGTGTCTCAAATTTAAATTTAACAACTGAATTAGCAATTCAATTCCAAACCTGCAATACTCTGTGGAGAAGTGGTTTCTAAATCTCTCCTGAATGGCCTGGCCCTAATTCTTTGACTACACCCCCTGGTTCGAGAATCTTTAACCAGTAGAAATAGTTCATCATTATCTGCCCTGCCTTTCCCTGTTAATATCCAGAAAATCTTGATTAGATCACTCCTTAATATTCTCAATTCAAGAGAATTAAGGCCTACTTTGTCTAATCTCTCCTCATAAACTAACCCCTGAAGCCCAGGCATCATTCTAGCAAACCTGTATTGATCATGCTCTAGAGCCAAATTAACCTTCCTAATATCTGCTTAAAGTGCTCTAAATGGGGTCTAACTAGCATTTTGTATAATTGCAGCAAAACACCTGCATCCCTATACTCCAGTCCTTCAGATATGAAGGCCAGTATCCCATTAGCTTTCTTTACTATTTTCTGCATCTGTTCGTGGCATTTTAAAGAGCTATGCACCTGAACCTTCAAATCTTATTGGACATCCATTGCATTTAACCTTTTGCCATCTAAAAAATAACCTGATTAATCCTTTCTCAGCCAGAAATGGATAACCTCATACTTGCTTATATTAAAGTCTGCCAGCCACAGCTTTCAATATCCTTCTGTAAATTTATGCTATTGTCAACACTGACTACAATGCTGCCTATTTTCATGTTGTCAGCACATTTGGATATTTGATTTCATATGCCATTATCCAAGTCATTAATGAATATTGTGAATAACTGAGAAACTAGCACAGAACCCTGCAGGATACCACTAGTCACATCCTGCCAATTTGAGTGTTTATCCATTATTCCAACTCTCTGTTTCCTGCCACTCAGTCAATTTCCTGTCCATGTCAGTAATTTGCACTCAATTCCATGGGCTTCCACTTTAGTGAACAGTCACTTCTGTGGGACTACCTTCTGGAAGTCCATATAAACAGCATCCATCAATTTACCTCTGTCCACTACCTTTGTCACCTCTTCAAAACACTCCATGAGGTTTGTCAGGCATTACCTACCTTTCGTGAATCTGTGCTGACTCTCTCTGATTAACTGACATTTTTTGAGGTGATCAGTTACTCTATCCTGATTACAGACTCCAACAATTTCCTCACCTCTAATGTCATGCTAACTGGTCCATAATTCGCTGGTGTTTCTCTGCCACCCTTCTTAAAAAGCGGAGTGACATGAGCAAATTTCCAATCATTACGGAATTCTGAAAGATTATGGTTAGGACATTGGCAATGGGCTCTCCTACCTTTTTTAACACCTGGGAATGGAAATTATCAGGTCCTGGGGATTTGTCACACTTCAATTCCATTAATTTCCCCATTATTGATGATTTGCTTAACCTAGTTTTATTTAGACCCTACTCTGTTATCACAGTGTGGAGCTGAAGGAACACAGCAGGCCAGGCAGCATCAAAGGAGCAGGAAAGCTGACGTTTCGGGTCGGGACCCTTCTTCAGAAATGGGGAAGTGGGAGAGAAGGGTCCCGACCCGAAACGTCAACTTTCCTGCTCCTCTGATGCTGCCTGGCCTGCTGTGTTCCTCCAGATCCACATTGTGTTAACTCTGACACCAGCATCTGCAGTTCTTACTATCTCCAATGCTCTGTTAATTTCTTTGGGACTTTCAGCAAGCCATCTTCCTTTTCTGCTGTGAATACTGAGGTAAAGTATTATGAATCTAATGATGACCATGAATCCATTGCCGATTGTTGGAAAAACCCATCTGGTTCACTAATGTCCTTTAGGGAAGAAAACTGCCATCCTTACCTGGTCTGGTCTACAAGTGACTCCAGACCCACAGCAATGTGGTTGACTCTTAACTGCCCTCTGGGCAACTAGGGATGGGCAATATATGCTGCCTGGCCAGCAACGCCCTCATCCCGTTAATGAATAAAGAATTCCAATTGGAATCAATTTAAAACACAGGAATAGTTTTGGGACTAGGTATTCGACTCCTGTGGTGAGGGTGATAAAATTTTAAATTGTACAAGATGATCTGAATCGTGTTTCTAACATAATATTTAATGATGCTTGATCATAAATGTCATCAGAATAGTCACCAGACTTGAAATGTTAACTCTGCTTTCTTCCCACATACGCTGCCAGACCTGCTGAGTTTCTCCTTAGCTCAGTCCTGTCTACATCTGTTTGCTGCCTCCCTGTGACCTCCTCACAACTTGCATTTCAACCTTGCTTTGTATTATTAGCATAAGTAGGTTCATTACTCGCTGTATCTTTGTGCATTGATTATAAATAGCTGACACACAGAACTGATCCTTGGAACCCAGAGGAATATCAAGGAGTTTACAAACAGTAAGTGAATTTGAAATATACACGACTCATCAATATAAGTGTATATATAGAATGAAGACTGTTCAGAAACAGCTATTTCCTAAGCCAGTGGTACAGGGTTAGGTCCACCTCCAGGCAAAAAGGCTTAGCCAATGATAATTGTTGAAAGGCAGTTTGTATTAAATGACAAAAGTTTGTCCAGGCAATCGAACATACCGAACAATCTTCCTCCAGCGTCTGTACACACCCAGAGTTATCATTCTGAACACAACAGCCAGAGTTTCTCTCCTGTTCTCTTTGCTTCTCAATAAGTTTTGCAATGGACTGGTCCCTCCGTAAGCAGGGAGAAAACTTTGCTCCGAGGTGAATGAGAGCAACCTGCAAAAGATCAAGAGTGTTTACAATCGAACCGTGTCTCATAATAAATCAGATCAGCACTTGTCATATTATTACCCACTCACCGAGCTTGGTCCAATCCAAAAGTTCTCTTGCTGTATATGTTGCACACTCTCATACACCCCTTTATTCCTCAACACCTGAAAAAATGGAATTAATATAAAACCTTTGTTGCTATTTTTTTTCTGTTTGTCACCACCCTATAATCTGAATTTATATTGACTGCAGTCCCATGTGATAGAATAGAAATTAAAATTTAAGTAAGAGTGTACAACAGTTGCTTCCTGTGAGACAGCCTGAAATGAGTGTCAAGAATTATTTCACCAGTCTTTCTCCAAGGAAACAGCTCAGAATCTTAAAATAGCTCACAGTTCCATTTCTCCGAATACAAGCTAGATACAATTTTTTTTTAAACAGAAGGACAGAATAAGGTGAAGGACAGAACAAAAAAAAGCAAAAAGCAGTGTGCAATTCAGCACACGTTATTGTGGGTAAAATTTGAAGAAGCAGATGAAGAAGTGAAGGCTCAGGTGGAGGGACAGGTAATATTGAGGAAGCAGAGAGACTGCAGAAGGACTCAGAGAGGCTGGGAGAGTGAGCAAAGAAGAGGCAGATTGAATATAATGTGGGAAAGTGTGAGCTGATGCACTTTATCAGGAAGAACAGAGGTGTAGACTATTTTTTGAATGGGGAAAGACTTTGGAAATCTGAAGCACAAAGGGACTTAGTAGTCCTAGTTCAGGATTCTCTTAAGATGAACATGTAGTTTCAGTCTGAGATTGAGAAGCCAAATGAAATGTTAGCATTAATTTCAAGCGGGCTAAAATTACAAGAGCAGGGATGTACTCTGTATAATTGATTCAGAGATTCATATAGCTAGGAAATGCCCCTTTGGCCCATCGAGTCTGCACCACTAAAAGTGTGCTAATCCCAATTTCCAGCACTTGCCCCATATCCCTGAATGTTATGATATTTCAGGTACTCATGCAAACATTTTTTAAAGATTGTAAGGTTTCCAGCCTCCACTACCTTGGCAGGCAGGGCATTCCAGATTCCAAACACCTGCTGAGTGAAAATGTTTTTCCAAAATCCCCTCTGAATCTCCTGCCCCTTACCCTAAAACTATCCCCCCTTGTGATTAATCCCTCAACCAAGGGGAACAACTGCTCTCCATTCACCCTGTCCATACCCCACGTAATCTTATACACCTCAATCATGTCTCTCCTCAGTTTTCTCCGCACTACAGAAAACAATCCAAGGGTATCTACTCTCTCCTTACATCTCAATTTCTCCATCCCAGGCAACATCCTGGTGAACCCCCTCTGTACCTCCTCGAGTGCTATCACACCCTTCCTGTAGTGAGGTGACCAGAACATACACCATACTCCAGCTGTGGCCTGACCAATGCTCTGTATAACTCCAGCATTACCTCCTTGCTCTTACACTGTGTGCCATGACTGACGAAAGCAAGTGTCCCATTTGCCTTCTTAACTATCCTATTCACGTGTTCTGCTGACTTCAGGGATCTGTGAATAATTACCCCAAGATCCCTCTGTTCCTCTGAGCTACCCAGTGTCCTGCCATTCATTAAATACTCCCTCATAATGTTTCTTCTTCCAAAGTGCATCACCTCACACTTATCAGGGTTAAATACTATCTGCCACTGGTCTGCTCATCTGACCAACTTGTCTCTACCTTCCTGTAACCTACAACCATCTTCTTCACTATGGACCACTCTACCAATCTTGGTGTCATCTGCAAAGCTGCTTAACATTCCCCCACATTTTCATCTCTATCATTTATGTAAATAACAAACAATTAAGGTCCCAGCACTGATCCTTGTGGTACACCGCGGGACACCGGCCTCTGGTCACTCAAACAGCCTCCTATCACCACCCTTTGTGTCCTGTTGCTAAGCAAGTTTCTGATGCCTCTCGCCAAGTTTTCCTCAATTCCACGTGCTTTAACATTCTCAATCAGTCTCCATGAGGGACCTTGTCAAAGGTTTTGCTAAAATCCATATAAACTACATCAACTGAACTTCTCTCATCCACACACTTAATCACATTTTCATAAAATTCTAACAAATTTTTTAGGCATGACCTCTCTCTGACAAAACCATGCTGACAACCCTAATTAACCCATGCCTTTTCAAGTGGGTATTGATTCGCTGTTGCCGAATTTTCTCCAATAGTTTGCCTACCACTGACGTGAGACTCACCGGGCTGTAATTTCCTGGTTCATCTCTACTACCCTTCTTAAAAAGTGGAACCACTTTAGCCATCTTCCAGTCCTCTGGCACTTCCCCCATGGCCAGAGAGGAATTAAAAATTTGTGTCAGTGTAAGGTTCTGATCAGACCACATTCGGAATATTGTCAACAATTTTAGGCCACATATCTGAGGAAGGATGTGCTGGTGTTAGAGAGAGTCCTGAGGAAGTTTACAAGAATGATTTCAGGGATGAAGGATTTGTCAAATGAGGAGCAGTTGAGGATTCTTAATCTGCAATGAATGGAGTTTAGAAGGATGACGGGGAATCCGATTGAAACTTACAGAATACTGAGAGGCCTGGATAGAGTGGAGGTGGCGAAGATGTTTCCACTTGTAGGAGAGACTAGGACTTGAGGGCACAGCCTTAAAGTAAAGGGACAACCGTTTAGAACTGAGATGAGGAGGAATTTCTTCAGCCAGAGGGTGGGGAATCTGTGGGACTCATTCCCCCAGAGGGCTGTGGAGGCCAAGTCATTGAGTGTATTTAAGACAGAGATAGACAGGTTCTTGATTAGTAAGGGGGATCAAGGGTTATAGGGAGAAGGCAGGAGAATGGGGTTGAGAAACATATCAGCCATGATCAAATGGTGGAGCAGACTCAATAGGTTAATGGCCTAATTCTGTATCTTATTGTCATCCCTGATCTCAAGGACAAATATTGCCCCAAGAGGAGGAACTGCAGCAAGCCTTAGTGATAGAATTTCTTCATCAATAATCCTTCTTAATAGCCTCACCTTACTGAAATTGACGATCGGTTGCTGGTCCCAGAGAGGAGGAGATGGTGGAGGAGCAGTGGGTAATATAAGATGAGGAGGAAAATAAGGTGGGGTAAGGGTAGGGAGTGGAATAAGTCAGCAGCAGGTAAAGGAAAGGAGTGTTATATTTCAGTTAACCAGTTGGTGAGGGAAGAAACCATTGCCTGTCTTTATTTCAAGTAGATTTTATTAACAGAGTGAAACATTACAGGTATAGATCGCCTGACTCCGTTCTATACTTGTGGCTGGAGGTGTGATGGGAAGGCAGGGGGGTATTCATAGAGTCATACAGCACAGAAACAGACCCTTCAGTCCAACTTGTCCATGCCAACCAAGTTTCCCAAACTAAACTAGTCCCACTTGCTTATATTTGACCCATATCCCTCTAAACCTTTCATATTCATGCACCTGTCCAAATGTCTTTTAAATATTATCACTATACCTGCATTTACCACTTCCTCTGGCAGTTCATTCAACATGCGGACCACTCTCTGCATGTTAATGTTGCTCCTCAGGTCCCTCTTAAATCTTTCCCCTCTCACCTTAAATCCACGCCCCCTATTTCAAACTCCCCCATCCTGGAGAAAAGACCTTTGCCATTCAGGCTCTCTATGCCCCTCATGATTTTATACACCTCTATAATGTCACTCCTCAACCTCATATGGTCAAGTGTAAAAAAGCCCCAGCCTACTTAGCCTCTTGATATGACTCAAGCTCTCTAGTTCTGGCAACATCCTGGTGAATCTTTTCTGAACAATTTAATAATATCCTTCCAATAGCTGGGTGACCAGAACTGCACACAGTTCTCCAACAGTGGCCTCACCAAAGTCCTGTACAACCTCAACATAACGTCCCAACTCCTATACTCAATGCTATGAGCAATGAAGGCAAGCGTGCTAACGCCTTATTCACTGCCCTGTCCACCTGTGACGCAACTTTCAAAGAATTATGTTCCTGAACCGCTAGGTCTCTCTGTTTGACAACACTCCCGAGGGCCCTACCATTAACTGTATATGTCCTGCCCTTGTTTTTGTTCTACCAAAATGCAACACCTCGCATTTATCCAAATTAAACGCCATCTGCCGCTCTGTGGCCCATTGGCTCAATTGATCAAAACCTCTTTGTAATCTTAGATAATCTTCTTGACTATCAACAATACCAACAAATTTAGTGTCATCCACAAAATTTCTAACCATTCTTCCTAAATTCTCACCCAAATCATATGTATAAATGATAAACGGCAGCAGACCCAGCACTGATCCCTGTGGAGCACTGCTGGTCATAGGCCTCCAGTTCAATAAACAACCTTCCACGATCACCTGTATTTATTTACTCTGTGCTCCACCATGGACCAGGATTCCAGACTTCATGTGAAGCAATGTTAGGGGGTGAGGCAGTATTAGGGGGTGAGGCAGTGTTAGGGGGTGAGGCACTGTTAGGGGGTGAGGCAATCTGAAGGTTGAAAGGTGGTGATACAAACTCCCTGCGATGAGCCTGAACCCGTGTGAGTTGGAGTACACTTACCAGCTGTGTTTTCACATGCTGTGCAAACCCGACCGGGACAATTCCATAAATCCCAATCGCCATAAAGCTGATCAAAATGTGAACAAACGTGATCCAGTAAGTGAAATACGGCCTGGAAAAGAAGTAGCTGTTAAACACACAGCTAGACAGAGACTCATACACACACACCCTCCCACACACCCCCACACACACCCTCCCACACACCCCTACACACACACACCCTCCCACACTCTCTCACACACACACACCCTCCCACACTCTCTCACACACCCCCTCCCACACACCCTCCCATACACCCTCCCACACACCCTTACACACCCCCTCCCCCACACCCCCTCTTTGAGAAGATTTGTATCTCGGGTTGTGGATGAGGTTGTAGACATACTCACCGAGCCGGTGGGTTTGGTTGCAGACGTTTCATCACGGTGCTGGGTAACATGTTCAGTGCGCCTCTGGTGAAGCGTTGGTGTTCTGTCCCGCTTGTTATTATATGCCTCAGTTTGTTGTCTGGAGTACCCTGCTGTTTTTGCGTTCTACCATTATGTCCAGGAAGGGTAGCCAGTTGTTGCTTTCTTCTTCTTTTATAAATTTTACCCCGGTGAGGATGTTGTTTAAGTGTCGGTGGGTTCCTTCTAGTTTTGTGCATTTACTAATCACGAAGGTGTCATCTACATGTCAGACCCAAAGTTTGGATTGTATAGTGGGGAGCACTGACTGTTCTAACCTTTGCATTACTGCTTCTGCAATCAGTCCTGATATTGGGGATCCATTGTGTTGTTTGTATATGCTGTTGTTGAAGGTGAAGTGGGTTGTGAGGGACAGATCTAGTACGCTCATGGTGGTGTCCTTATTGATGTTGTTGGTGTCCTGCGTTACCGGCTTACTTGATTCATCCAGTAGTGTAGCAATTGTTTCTTTGGCTAGGTCGATGTTTATGGATGTAAATAGTGCTGTTATGTCGAAGGATATCATCATCTTGTCCTCTTCTGTTCTGGTGTCCTTGATGATGTTGAGGAATCCTTGAGAGGAGTGGATGGAGTGGGTCATGTTGTCAACTAAGTATTTCAATTTCTGTTGTAGTTCTTTGGCAAGTCTATATGTTGGTGTGCCTGGTCGTGAGACAATGGGTCTGAGGGGGACCCTGGTTAGTGTGCCTTACACTGGTAAGATTACAATGTTCCCGTCTTTCCTGAGTCTTTCCTGGGCTTTCCTCTCCTCTGTGTTGAATGTAAGTGGAAAAGGAAGTGGAACACATTCAACAGTCTTACTTTTGTGGTGGGCAAATTATTGGAGAGGATTCTGAGAGATAGTATTTATGATTATTTTGAAAAGCACAGTTTGATTATAAATAGTCAGCATGACTTTGTGAGGGGCAGGCCATGCTTCACAAGCCTTACTGAATTCTTTGAGGATGTGACAAAACACATTGATGAAGGCAGAGCAGTGGATGTGGTGTATATGGATTTTAGCAAAGCATTTGGTAAGGTTCCCCATGGTAGGCTCGTTCAGAAAGTAAGGAGGCATGGGATTCAGTGAAATTTGGCTGTCTGCATACAGAATTGGCTGTCCAATAGAAGACAGAGGGTGGTAGTAGATGGAAAGTATTCAGCCCGGAGCTCGGTGACCAGTGGTGTGTCGCGGGGATCTATTCTGGGACCTCTGCTCTGTGATCTTTATAAATGACTTGGATGAGGAAGTGGAAGGGTGGGTTAGTAAGGTGCTGATGACACGAAGGTTGGTGGAGTTGTGGACAGCGTGGTGGGCTGCTGTAGGTTGCAACGTGACATTGAAAGGAAGCAGAGCTGGGCAAAGAAGTGGCAGATGGAATTCAACACAGAAAAGTGTGAAGTGATTGGTTTTGGAAGGTCAAATTTGAATGCAGAATACAGGGTTAATGGCAGGATTCTTGGCAGTGTGGAGGAACAGAGGGATCTTGGGGTCCACGTCCAAAGATCCCTCAAAGTTGCTACCCAAGTTGATAGGGTTTTAAAGAAGGTGTAAGGTGTGTTGGCTTTCATTGGCAGGAGAATTGAGTTTAACAGCCGAGGTTATGCTGCAGCTCTATAAAACCCTGGTTAGACCACACTGGGAATATTGTGTTCAGTTCTGGTCACCTCATTACAGGAAAGATGTGGAAGCTTTAGAGAGGGTGCAAAGGAGATTTATCAGGATGCTGCCTGGA